TAACAACGTAGTCGTTAATCTGTACAAGCTCCAATTCTCCACCACCCGCTCCTACCAAGTATGGTCTAATCTCTCCAAGAAGCTGACATTATTCGAAATATCAAATATTGGGGATTGTTTTTGGTGTCTGAATACACTCATAACAAGTTAAGAGTAATTCAATTGATTTCTCAGATAGTCACTCAACTAATAGTTATTATGTCAGATGATCAAGAGTCTGAGTTGACTTTATGAGATAATAACTATTAGTCGAGTGAGAGAAATCAACTCAAGAGTAATTACTAATCATAGAAATATTGTACCTTTTCAATATTTTCCTCATTTAACTCGAGGCCAGTTTCAGAGTCAAGAATCTGTTCAACTGCCATTATTTCAGGGATTTTGTCCCTAAGACGAGTTTCAATTCCCATTTTAAGTGTCATTGTTGAACTTGGACAAGATCCACATGCTCCTTGCAGCTTAAGAATTACAACGAGGCCATCAATCTCATGTAGTACCACATTTCCTCCATCAGCCATTAGGCCTGGCCTGACTTGCTCTAGAACCTTCTCGACGTTTTCCTCAGTAAGTGGAAGGACACAACTTGGTGATACCACAGCACCTTCAGTATCAATAGACAAAAGAAGGAACAATTACGTGATTAGTTACGGTCACATTAATAAATGGAACAGGTTAATAGGACAACAATAACGCAATTCCATTTACCATAACAACGTATTACTACCACATAACAAACTCAGAAGTAAGGGCAGAGCTAGAAACCTACATACGGGTTCGGTTAAACCCAATAACTTCTTCTCAAACAGTGTATGTGTTAAGACATTCATTAATACGTACACATTAAATTTTACAGCTCAATTATAAGCACATGAAGTCGTCATTCTAGTATATAGAACCCATAAAGTCAAATCCCTGGCTTTGCCTCTGCAGTCAGAAGTTGTATTGCTGAAAGGAGACCTTAGTAATAAGACAGATTCTGAGAGTATTATGTCTGATCATTCGTTTTATTTGATCTTGAAAATTAAGTTACAACGGTGATACTATAGGAATTCACACAAGAAAATGCCAGGATGCTACAACGATATGATAAACTTGTATACCGATAAGACATGCAAGAACAAAGAAGAACTTAATGTAGTCAATGAAAGGACTCGCAAGACGAGGCAGCTGAGACGAATAACTCTGTTTAGAGAATGAAAGGCAATAACCGAAGGTTTAAAGCATGGAAGTCTTTGTATTCAGTAGTGATAGTTATTTCAGTCACAAAAGGAAAAAAAGGAAGTCGGCTACCTCTTCATATATAGAAGCAATAAAAACATAATTGGATGAAACTGCATCATTCACCTGCATTTTTTCTTCTTTGTCCAGTTCTACCGACCCCAAGGAAGTGTCTAACATGATATTGACCTCCTAGAAAAGAACTTTGCTTTGAAGAAAACGGTCTGCCTTGTGAAACACAGTTCTATAAAGAGGTAATGACAGCAACATTACATCATGGAAAATGAAGAAATTTTCTCCAGATAGATATACACAATCTAACAGTGCAATTGAAGCAGTCAAGGAACCAGGAATTTGGCGTAAGGGGTACAAAATTAAATATATATACATAATAGTTAACATTTAACCTCTATACACCACACAATTTTCCAACAAAGGGTGTGCACAAGACCACCCTTTGCCTAAGAGGGCTCCGCCTACGAATCGAAGTGCAAATTGTGGGAAGGAGGTAAACAATGTACCAAAAATATAACATTGGGATTCATATGTTTTACAAGAGTAAATTAGCTTCCTTGATTACGGTAGACCAAAAGAATTCACAAACGCAAGTATTGAAAAGCATAAATCATATCTAAGACTAAGGTATATGCTATCCTAAAAATATGGCAACTACAACATCATTCGCATAACAAGTATACAAAGTACATTTGACTTTACTCTTAGCAAACAGAAATTGAGTGGTAATACCTTTTGAAAGGAAGTGGAGGTAGGAGACAACCATTCTGATGACGCCACCGTGGGTTTGAGACCTCGCGTTTGTGTTGAAATTGCAAACATTATGTACTTAAGTATCACCAATAGTATTGAGGACTCATGTTTCTTGAGTATATTCCTGGAGTACATAGTTCTAGCTGAGTTAAAACTAGAACTAGACTTACTTTATATACTTGTATAATAACTTGGACACCCTTAACGAAATTCCTGATTTTGCCACTGCCTAGGAGGAAAAGACGACCAAGGTCTAAACCGAGAATATCAAATGGGAGATGGATTACTTAATACTCGTTTGCTTATACCGGAAGTACAGAACATAATGTCCATAAGTGAGAGATTTCTGTATGATTTCAATTATTTTATGTTTGGTTGGTTAACATGTTTTGAAAATATAGATTTCTCCGGTAGCGAAACAATTCCTTAAAAATGAGGAAATTGACTTCCCAAAGTTCTATTGTTTCCTCCCATCACTCACGCCCCCATTGTATTTCTCTATAAAACACACCCACCCCATCACACCCCATTGTGTTTTTCGCTAGATTACATATAAATACTCTGAGATAATATATATATATATATATATATTTTGCTTATTCACCAAACACTGAAAAATAAGCAAAGAAACTCAATACATTTTCCTTCATACCAAACACATTCTAAATCACAATTAATTTTACTTCTTAACCAACAAAATGCAATCCCTAATTTACAATACTTTCAACATATCAAAGTTGATATCTTGCTAACTTTTTCAATCATTTATTTTAGATATTTTGTGACTAATAAATGAAATTTAACATTTAAAACTGTGTACAGTTCATATTAAAATGAGACAAACAGAGTAAAATCCATCACCTGTCAAGCAACCAAAGCAATCACATAAGAAAAATGAAATTGAGGGAAGTGTGAATACCTGATAGCATGAGTCAGTAGAATCAAATTTAAGAGTTTATTTTTTTCCTTTTTTGATTGAATTGTGATTGTAAGGTAAGGTAGTTATTTAGAGGGATGGATGTGGTTTGGACACGTACTCTTTCACTCATCTCTACCTTTGTCTCTTTTTCTTTTAATATGGGTTCTATTAATCTAAATTTGTATCACATATGAAATTTATTTATGAGAAGCATTTTAAATAGGCATAAAATGTTATTTAATTTAGTGCCAATTAATCTTTATGTCTTACAATTTTAGGTGTATACAAATAACATAAATATTTTATGTATCCTATATGATGTTTTATGTGGGTTATGTTATATAGGATATATGTGTCTATTTATGTAATTGTATACAAGTTTAAATATTTATTTATGCATATTCAACGTTAAAAAATATAGATATCAGCTGAAATCAAATTGAACGATACATTTATATATTATATTTTTTCTCTAATTTATTTTATAAAAATTAAAAATAGCGACTTTTAATGTATTTTTTTCATACTCAAGGTGCTCTCTCTTTTTAGGATAAATAAATTTCTTGTGTCATAATTTAATTTTGAGTTTATCACACAATTATTATTTTTTTGTATTTCACGAAAGTCATCTAATTTTAAAATTTATGGTACAAATTCCATTTGATATTTTATTTTATTGTTTCTTTGTTATATAAAACTCATTCAACGTTAAAGTCATCCCACTTTAATTTGTTTATCTATTTGACTTATTTTTTATTTGTTTGTTATTTATTTTTTTAATAAAATATTATTTTTACCTTTTAAATCTCGTGAATAAATTCAAACGGTTGCTTTTTGAAGGCAAGGAGGAAGATGGATAGTATTCCATCATGGTACTGTACCTCATTGCCTTATCAACTAAAGAACAACGTATTGAAAATTGCATCCATCGTTTTGAATTGAAATTAAAGAGAAGAGAATAATATTTGTATTTTATATATTAATAAAAATAAAAGAGAAGAGAATAATATTTGTATTTTATACATTAATAAAAATAAATTTAAAAATAACAAAAATAATAACTATCAAAATAAATATCTAATAAATTAAGAAAAGATTATGAAAAAAAACATGACAATAAATAAAAAAGGAGTAACAAATATATGTTAAGAGAACATAACAACCCCAATAAAGTACCATCACCTAAACCATAGATGTTATCAAAAGCCAACAATTACATGAGTTACTACAACAATCAATACGGTGCTATACATTACCATCAAATCAACGCATGACTAACGTTTCGTTTGTTTTCGTTAAGATTAAGAGGTCTGAATTTCAATATACATTATTAATATTTGTATTAAGATTCAGATGTTTTAATTTGAATATACATCTGAATATTAAAATATAATTTTTAAATGTGAACAAATTTATTTTCAATATTTGAATGTGCATGTGAAACTAACATTAAATTAATAAAATATCATAAAAAACTTATTTCAACAAAATATATCATTTTTTATTAAAAAAAATATTTTAAAAATTTTAATAATCATGATTTGAAGTACAATCTTTTTCATCCAAAACCTTCATAAACATCATTACACCAATAGTGTTCTTGACATTTAATATGAAAAAAAAAAACTTAAAAGGATTTATGAAAACTTACAAATTCAAAAGAGAAAAAATGGTGTTTGATTGAAAAAAGAAAAAAAAATAGTTATGAAATAAAAAAACACACTTAATGCAGCGAAGCGATGTATTATTTGATAACTTATCAAATGAGTATGAATGTTGTTAAGAATTTCCTATAGATTTGATTCATTCAAACCTCTTCAAATTCGTTGAGAATTTTTTTAAAAAAATTAAATAAATAAACTTAATGGACTGAATTTGAATGATTCAAATTCAAACCTAAAAATCAAACGTATTTAATAGGCTGAATCTAAATGATTAAGATTCATACCTTTATTAAGTCAAACTAAACTAAAGAGACCTAAGCTAGTATAAAATAATTCTCAACGATCTCTAATTTTCTATTTTTTCGTAACAATTATATTCTCGATAAGTTCTTTATCATGTCTAATCAAAACAAGTAAGACGAAATTAAAAAGAATTCAAATATTCCAATTTCATTCATCAAAACAATCTGTATACATATATAAACTAAACCTTTGAATGATTCAAATGAAAAATTAAAAAAAAATCACTTTTTCTGGCACTTTTCCTTAATCCATTTAAACCCCAATGAAGTTCCACTCTTCACCTTTTTTGCACCCACCACCGCCGCAGCCTTCGCTTTGTCAGCCCCCACCGCCGCCGCCGATTTCGCCTTCCCAAAACTCGCCGATGCCACCGCCGTCACCTTCTCCATCTTCTTACCACCGCTGCCACCGCCGCCGTTTTTCCCTTTGCTCCCATGATCATCTACGACATCGTTTTGACTGCCCCATTGATCTGCCCAACTGTTTCCGTGACTTCCCATTCTTGAAAAAAACAGAAGAGAAATCAAATCATTATCAACCAAAACAAGAAAAAGTTACAAATTTTGGCAAAATTCTAGCAGAGATTAGTAAAGGGACTGGTGGGGTTTCAAGATTTTAATGGAAAACAAGAAAAAGTTGCAAATTTTGGCAAAATTCTAGCAAAGATTAGTAAAGGTGATAAATGGGGTTTCAAGATTTTAATGGAAAACAAGAAAAAGTTAGAAATTTTGGCAAATTCTAGCAGAGATTAGTAAGGGTGATAAATGGATTTATGGGGTTTCAAGATTTTTAATGGAAAACAAGAAAAAGTTAACAGATTTTTGGAAATTTTTTAGCAGAGATTGGTAAATGTGATAAAGGGACTGACGGGGGCTTCAAGATTTTAATCGAAAACAAGAAAAAGTTGGAATATTTAGGAACCAAAAACACAAACAATAGTTACAAATCTTTGAAAACCCAAATGAAATTGGTAAATGAACTGATGAGATTTGCAAGATTTTTGTGAAAACAATGAACAATTCATAGAAAAAACAAAGTTAGAATCTTTAGGAATCAAAAACAAGAAAAAGTAACAAAAGGGGACTGATGGGGTTTGCAAGATTTTGACAGAAAACAACCAATAGAAAAAAAAAAGTTAAAATCTTTATCAACCAAATCAAGTAAAGTTACAAAATCTTGGAAAACCAAAAGAAATTAGTAAAATGACTGATGGGATTTACAAGATTTAAATGAAAAGCAACCAATAGAAAAGTACAAGTTTGAATTTTTAGAAACTAAAAACAAGAAGAGAGATTGGGTAAAAGGACTAATGGGGTTTGCAAGATTTTAATGGAAAACAACTCACAGAAAAAAAAAAGTTACAATCTTTAGGAACCAAAACAAGAAAAAGTTACAATCTTTGGCAATAAATAACAATCTGTGATAACCAAAACACTAAAACTTTAACAGAACTGAGAAGTAGAAGAAAAGATCAAATTCTTACCAGAGATTGGTGATGGGTTGCTCCAAGACTATTTGTTTTTGTAAAATGTGAACAGAGAGGATAATAAAAAGGACCAATTGTTTGAAGGAATTGAAGGCAGCTAAAGTAAACTCTTAGCTGTCAGGATCAGGAATCTTCTTATACATTAGGTTTCAGAAAATTAAGCCTAAAGTTTGGTAAATTTACACTTTCACTCCTTATATTATAGTCTATATGTACTTTCAACCTCAAACTCTATATTTTCAACGATTTTGATATCGAAAAAGGGTCAAAGATATCTTCCCTTTTGTTACATTCAATCGAGATAAACTCCTTTCATTATAATTTGATTTAAGTTTGCTTTTCAACTTAACATCGACGTGATTTCACTAAATCTCCAGCATTTATGTACATTGTATAAAATGCAAATTGCATTGTATATACAGTACATACGTCCTAAGTATTTTGTTAAAGAAAATCTCTAAATAGTTGAACATAATATTTTTAAAATGTTGTTTTACTTAATCTTATTAACCATTGGAACCTACTGTATAAATATTTCAAAACTTATGTATTATTGCAAGTTAATTTACTTGATGATGCAAAAAACATATAATTTGGCAACACACAAAATTAAAATTTCGAAAACGAAAGATTCATTTTCTATCCATATCATTTTTCTTTTTAGGTAAGTTCGGTCTTCTCTTTGTGGCTAAGAGACATGACCGATTTTTTTATTATTGGTTCAATCAGTTTCTTGACAAAAATAGATTGAAGGATGATTCTTGTTATTTTTTGAATAGTATAAGGATGTTTTTTTGATCACTTAAATAATATAAGTATGTAAATTAGATGTGAGTCATAATTGAAAGATGATTTTAGCCAATAACTTCAAAGTAATATCATAATTTTAGAAATATATACAGAAAAAATTAATTTTTTCTTGAATTATTATTATTTTTTCTTTACTTTTTTAAAAGAAAAATAAAATCATATGAAAATCAAGTACTTTAAAAGATTTAAAACTAATAAGTAATGGAAATTTATATAGGAATGCATGAACCTAAATTAAATGTGAATAATTAGAACTTGAAATATTTGAACTTGATTAATAAATTGGGAAGACTTTATATATTCCATTTATTGTTTTTTCACTTATTTTAAATAATAATGATTTTCTTTCATAAATGAAACTGTGCTTGAATTGATGTTAATTAGGAGAGAGCATAATGCTTTATTAAAAGCTTTGGTATGCAAATTTCAATTTTCAACTTCTTTTAAAAAAATAGTACACCAATATTATTTTTGAAGGACTAAAAAAATTATTGTTTCTCTTGGTGTCAATTTAATGTTAAGATTTTTTTTCCCTTAATTATTTTGTTTAGCAGGAAATTAACAAGTTTCAACTCTAAATAATATAATATATTAAGCGAAATGCAATTTAGTTTTCTAATATTAATATAAAGCAGGTACATAAGTTTGTTGATGTGACACCCTTTATAGGCCAGGAATCATATTGATCTTTTTGAGGTTTTTTTTTTACTTTTTTCCTGTCATTTTTCTATTTATCTAATTTAGAGCCTGTTTGGCTGAGCTTAAAAGCTGGTCAAACTGACTTAAAAGCTGGTTTTTGACTTATTTAGCTGTTTGACAATACTCAAAACAGCTTATTTTAAGTTAAAAAAAACTTATTTTAAGCCAAAAGTTAAAAGCTGGGGTAGAGGTGCTTTTTTTTTCTTCAGCTTATAAGCTGTTTTAAGTTGACCACATTTTTACCTTTTTGCCCTTAATATTTTT